CCACCCACCCAGCAGCTCCGGGCACCTCCAGGCCCCCCTTGTTCGGTGACAGTTCATGGCTCCTCTGACCAGGGTCACAGCCCTTTGGGGACACATGTAGGGTCTCCCAAAGCAGGCGAGTCCTCTGAGGTCTGAAAAAAGGGAAGCGGAGGTCCAGAAGAGCAAGGGGCAGCGTGGCAACGTGGCCCTCACTGGGCTTTCTACGTAGGTGTCCAGTGGCAGCAGCTTCAGCACGTTCTCCAGCAGGTGCCGGCTGCCCAGGCCTGGGGGCACGTGCTGATCTCAGACTCCCCCCTCTCTCCCACCTGGTCGCCGACAGCGCCACCTGGCGGCCTGGCCTGGCCACACCTTTCACACTGGGCCTCACTAAACCTGCAAGAAAGGACAGACTTGGGCCTAGGACAGATGAGAGGCCACAGGCATCTGCTGCCCGCCTTGTGACACTTATTGAGGTCACACTGGCAACTTCTCCAGCTGGCTGAGGCACCTGTCCCTGCCCAGGCACTGGGCCAGCCCTGCCCACCCCCTTCACTCTTCACCATGCAGGTTGTTGGTGGCGACCCCAAGCACCTACCCACCAGGAGGGCCACCTCCTTGACCCCAGAAGGCCCCAAGATGACCCCCAGGGTTGCCACCTTTAAACCTGTCTCACTTGGCTCCCAGGCCCCTGCACGCTCATTGTACAAACTGGGACACACGGAAGCCTATGGCTGCCATCTTACCATGTAAAGGAGACCCTGCGACCATCTAGGTGCATTTCCTTCTGTCCTTTTTCTGCATCTCTACATGATTAGACTTTTCCGTATGTACGACCCGAATCCCAATTGCTCGTTTTCCACTAATGAGCAGGGTGTGTGTCACTGTGTGTGTGTCACTTGGTGGTTGCACTGCGATTTACTTAAACATTCCTATCTTCCAGCGTTCTGGCCTTTCCCACAGCCCACCTTGTCCCACCCCACCCCTTTGGGGAGGAGAGCTCCTGGGGTCACCTGGCTCAGGGTATAAACTGAGGCACGACTCCCTGAGCAGGGGTTGGCAGCCGAGGCCACTGGGTCAGGAGCGAGCGGCCACTGGGCAGGCCTCGGGCCTCTAGCCCGCCCCGTGCAGAGGGGCTGATTTACCCACTTCACATCTCTGAGCCCCAGTGGCCTCAGCTCTGCAGGGAGAGTCCTGCTCCTGACTCATAGCATGTCAAGGCAGGTGTGGGGGGTTGGGGGCAGCCAGGCATGGCCTGGGCCCAGCGCCAGCCCAGGCACAGAGCAGGATGCTGGTGCTGTCACCCCACAGCCCAGTTACCCTCGGTACTGCTAGCTCAGCTTCTACCATCACCTCTGGGACCTGGCTCAAGGCCCCTCCGAGACTCACTTCCCGTCCACCACTGAGAGTCAGAGGGTCTTCGAGCGTGTGGACGCTTCGAGCCTGTGAGGCCAGGTGTGCACCAGTACTGGGATTTTTACTGCAGAGTAAAGGTTGAACACCTGACCTGACCTGGGGGAGGAGCAGGGCGTTGGGCCTCAGTTGCCCCATTTGCAAGAAACCACCAAGTGGTGTCTGAAAAGGAACAGAAGGCCCAGGTTCATCTCTGGGGGCTGGGGACTGCAGGGGGCATCTTGAGGGTCCTGGCACTGGGATTTCCAGGGTCACCGGTGGGTGCTTGGGGAAAGGGTGGAGTTGGAGGCAGAGCTGCAGCCCCTGAGTAGCCCAGAGCCAGGCCCAAGGCCCACCCTCCCCACCCGGCTGCCGGGGTCTCCTGTCCGCCACACCTGCAGACGGAGGAGGTGGGGAACTTCACTTCTGCAAGAACTGAACAGCCAGCTGGGTTAGACAGCCCCTGGTGGGTCCTCGTGGGTGGACGCAGACCATAGGTCGCCAATCCCATTAGATCACGCCCACTTCTCTCCCCACCTCCCCCCAGCAGGGAGAGGGGGAGGGTTGGGAAATCGCTAGGTGCAGGAGTTATCAGAAACTGCGCATGTGTTAGCAGGGCTGGGGGTGGAGCTCGGACCCACAGCCTCCACCCTGAGTCCCGCCCAGCGTCTGCCCACGCAGCGCCACCTATGGCCCACAGTTCCAGGAAAAGAGAAACCGTGTCAGAGGTTAGAGAGTAGCCCCAGACACCTCGGGGACCATCTGGGGAGGGGTCCGGAGTATGAGCAACTCACGGGACCTGAGGCCGGAGGGGGGACCTTGACAGTCGGGGGCCCCCAACACTCGGTCTGGGTAGAGGGACTTGCCCTGCCCAGACATAGCCCCGCCCGGGCCAAAAGCCAGCGTCCTCGTGACCCCCTGGGGCTGACCAAGGCCTGGGCAGGTGCTTGGGCCTCAGTTTCCGAAAGAATTCCGAGGCGGGGCTGAAAAGGGAGGGCGGGGCCGCAGGAGAGGGAGGGGCGGGGCCGCGAGGTGGGCGGGGCCTACGGTGCGGTGGGGAGGGTCCCGAAGCGGCGCGCCAAGGACTAACCGCTGCGCGGGCTGACTTGGGAGGTGGGGGCGCGCGAAACCCAGCCTAGTCCCGCAAGCGTCTTTCAGGGCCTCGCGTTCCTCGCCAGGTTCAAGACCGGGACGCCTGTTTGTGGTCAGGGCTCCTCAGTGCCCCTCACCACAGCCGCCGCTCCCCAGGAGCCCCCCAGAACTGACTGGTTCCCCCACCCCCAGCCCTCTGGGTCCCTGGTGCCGCGGGGTGGATAGGGACAGGTGGCCTGACAACGCGGACTTACTTAGCTGACCCGGAGGGCAGGCTGGCGCGACATCCGGGCTGAGTGCTCTGAGCCCCTGACCCACTCCCGCAGGGCGTCAGTCAGACTGCTGAGACCCCTCAGGTACAGCGCCCCTTCCCTGGAGAGCAGTGTCCTGACCTCTGACCCGAAGGCCCCAGCTGCCTGCGTCCTCAGGACCGGGGTAGGGGTGTGGGGAACGCAACCACAGCTTCTTCCCTAACCCAGAGGGAGTCCCCTCCCCCCTTGACTGGTAGCCCCTCAAATGCCT